CGGCCGGTCTTCCCATGATGGTTGGATGTAGATCACCCCTCCCCCTCCCCTAAAAATTAGACCATAAACTTGAGCTCATTGATTCAAAAGCTATCACTCATTAATTCATAAAATCAGCTCTTGCTGAAACAAAGGATTTTGAATTTTATCTAAAATCTCCTGAAATCTTTATATCCCACCCCGATTCCGGTAGTAACCTTTGGTCGGACCATCGACCGGTCTTCCCGTGATGGTTGATCGTAGACCACCCCTCCCCTTGCCTGAAAATTAGACCGGCGCCAGAGAACAATAGGCGGCGCAAAAAGAACAATAGGCGCCGTGGCGCAGAACTCTCATTTGTATACTACTGTTGTTGCAAGATTTTAGCGATCTCTTGCGTGATTGGACCCGGAAATACGTCACAACTTAGCAGCCCTACAATTTAAACATAATCAAATRATCTAAAATGATACTGATGGTTTGTATTGATAATAATATAGCAGTTCTTATAGGCACTACGAAGTCTCAATGCCTTTACAGAAATCCAAAAACTCTCCAAAAAATCCAAAAAAGATATTATTATGACAATCTTACAAATGTAGCTCCTAATAAATTAAAAGAAAAGAAAATAATAATTGTTAGAATATATATAAATATGTACATAATTATAAATCAATCATGTTTAAGAGGGTGTGTTTTGAGGGTTTTTTTAAAAATAAATCTAGAGAGGTTAAGTGTCTAATGTCTTTTGGAAGGTCATTCCACAACTTTGGAGCAGAGACACGAGGGTTGATGTATGATACCCGATAAAGGAGAAATATAGTTGATAATCTAGTGGTATTAAAACTTCCKTTATAGCTTACATTTTCTGTACAGTTCAAGAAGAAAGCTTTGAAATGAGATAAGGTATTCTTGGAGTTACGATTTTCGAGTTACGCATTATTCAAGTTACGCGCTCGGACACACCCATGTTTTGGGGGCCACGCCCACTTTCACATCTGTGCGTAACTCGATGACAAACAGCGTTGAAATCAAACTCGAGTTACGTAACTCGAACCCAACAGATTGAACCTTATTTTTCGAGTTACGCGCTATTTCCGTAACTCGATTCTAAAAGTGGACCAACGTTTTTTCGAGTTAATTTGAAAGAGAAAATATTTTTCTTCTCAATAAATTAACGGAATTAAAACTAAGATTAACACATCAAATCAAATAAGAAATTCCCCTGCGGGCGGGCTAAAAAATGACACAGGTTGGAAACGGTCGTACTRTTTATTGAGTAAAAATCACCGGACTGTAGAGTTTTATGGTTTTAACGGTTTTATATTGCGGTAGCTATCAATCGAGTCGCGGAAAGAGAAAAAGAGAAAATAAATAACGATGTATACGGACAGAACGTGATAAATGCGAGTAAATATTGACAAAATAAAATGAAAGAAATACGAATAAAAAATAGAAATGAATAGTTGAGCGAGACAACCACCTCGACTCATGGAATCAGTTAATCTCTTCAGTTCTTTTCCTCGTATTATCTTCACCTTAGGATCATAACCATCAGGTAATATCAACCTAGTAATTTAAGTCAAGATTTKAGTATACCTTTTTCAATATTACACTGTTATTTTTCTTAGAAATCTTCATCTCAAATAAGTCTCCAAGATATCAAACTATCTATCCGAACCTGCTTATTCCTCGATTACATGCTCCAGTGATTTCCGGTTTACCGCCTATTTCAATTTCATAACTGAAAATATGAATAACAACCCTGTAATAATCCAACAAAGATGACGGCTGG